CCCCAAAACCCCAAAACCCCAAGATAAGAAATTAAAAAATGAATTTTTATGGTTGCAATAATTTTCAATATATATATATATTATTTAATAAAGTGGAAAAATTAATTCATCAAGATACAAAAGATGATAATTCAGAGTCCTCTGATTAATTTGGATTTAGATTAGAGTACTTGTCCTTATATTTTTCAAGGTACAGGTTTGTTTCATGCTTCATCTCTGCCAAAACCTTAGATAGTACTTCTTTACCTTCTTCAATTTCAATTCTATCTCTCTAAACATACTTCATTACTACATCCTTGAACTTTCGCATTCTCCATGAGCGATATGCTCTCTATATCTAGGATGCTGCATTGTTTAGTTTCTTTTCAATTTGGCGTTACTTTTCGAAAATCTTCTCCATTTTCTGTAATTCCATCAATCTATGTTAATTTTCAATGGACTGCCTCATCAATTAATACTAATTTAGCTTATCTTATTTTTGCTTGCTCAATTTTTCAAGCAAATACATTTGTCTCTCTCCAGATTAAAGTGAGTTGTCTTAATACATAAATTAAAAGGAACTGTGAAATTCTGATTTTCTTGGGTGAAAAGCATTGATGCTTTATCTATTATAAACATATTGATTTTTTACTGGATCACCAATTCTAGGCATCTGCATTTAAGAATGAGCAAAGCCAGGATTTCCCTTCATATTTTATCTATTTATAGGAGATGAATTTACTGATTTTATGACAGATGTTTTTTAGCCCCTTAGATTCAGCTGATCTTTAATATGTTTTTATTCAAACGACTATCTCAACTATATCTATTTATTAATTAGTCTTTTCGACATAATGGGCTTTTTATACAATTCATAATGATGAAGCTGCTCTTTTATTAGTACTTAGTCATTCCAAATTACTTATAAGTTTTTAAGACCTTAATTAAGTTTTTATACCCTTTAAAGGATAAAAGCTTTATCTTGTTTTTTCTTTTTTTCCTAATAATAGATAGATTGATATTATGTATCTGGAGACAAACTATTTTCTTTTTATGGAGAGCTTTGTATTGGAGATGACATTAGTCTTGAATTTCTGAACTAAAATTCTTGAGTTGAGACATTTACATTTCTATAGGTTCCCTATTAACTATCTAGCTGTCAACTTATCATTTTAGAATTGGGGTTTTATGATTAGTTGTTAAAGGTCGCCAATGTGCCATAATCGTTAGAACTACTAATACACACACTCTAATTAAAAGTTTGACTATTGGTAGTCTATGACTGAAGATTTGAGTACCTTCCTGATGAATTTTTAGGAGTAAAATTAGGTGTATTGAGAGAAGTTCTTGCTCTCATTTCCACCGTAGAATACTATGGACTAAAATTATTCGTTCTATTTTGCATATTTATTTTATTTAATGTTAATTATTTTACTTTTTAGTATCTTAAATTTAATGCTATCAAATTGCTTGGGGTTTTGGGGTTTTGGGGAGATCG